TAGTTTTATTATGTTGTTCAATCAGTACCTAATTTTCTAGTGAAGACAAGCAGTAAATGGCCTGTGTGAAGGAGAGTGCTTTAAGGGCTGAAATTTTGCAGTTAGAATTAGAGTCATAGTGGAGCCAATCCACAGCTGATAGACTACAATTAGCCATGGCCAGGGTTGTCAACCCAAGAAATTATTTTTTACTGACAATCTGAACACTTCTTACTGACAGAGAAACTTTTTTCAAACTCTTTTTTTTCCCCCATAAGTTTCTTAGGTTAGCATCCCTGTGCAACTGCAGCAGTGGTTTTACACCCTACCACCCCCAAGCCAGGGATCCCATACTCATCCAATAACTTGACACCCCGACTGCTCTTTGCACTATGCTGCCCCTCAAGCCTAACTCCTGCCAAGGGTTTCCCCTGCCTTTGGACATTATCCCCACCTACTGCCTCTTCCCTTCCCAGCCTGCAGCTCCACTCTGGGAGCATTGCCCCCATGCCTGTACCTTTGATGCAAGAGCTGTAGGAGGCAAGAGATGGGTGCAAGGACCCAGCAGCAGCACATTTCTAGAGGGAGAGGGGCTAGCAGGATTCAATAAGTACAAAGGAGCTCTGCATGCTGGGTGCTTTGCTCCCACTCAGACAGCAGGTAGCACTGCTGTGCTTCACCTGTCATTCAACACAGCAGCACATTTCCCCCCATCTTGGACAGGGCTTAAAATGTACTGCCTCTGTTTTTTTATGGAAAAAACATGGTCCCCTCACTGCCTCCTCCAGCTCTCCCAACCCCTTACTCACCGGCACTAGAGCCCTGGTGCTGAAACATGTGGCCTGGCCAGCTGTGTGTTGCTTCACCAGGGCGAGGGGCAACCACAGAGATGCTCTGGCAGCCAGCACATCTCTTTGGAGGACCCAGCCCCCGGTTGCCTCAGGGCACATTCAGGGGCCATGCCCTGCCCCGCTTTTTTACACTTCACTTTTTTTAGACCCCTGGATATCCAGGGGTCTAATTTTCTCCCTACACTGCAAATTTGCAGTGCAGGGAACATTATTTTGTTCCCACAGGTGCCTGTTGCCCTGCCTCAAAGGGGTTTGAGGTGGGGCAAGAGGCACGTGCATGCTGGTGTGGACTTGCCCATTGGGTGCACATAGTTTCAAGAGACAAAACCATGGCCTGTCTATGATCGGAGGTCTTTGCAAGTTTAGACACAGAATTCACAGACAGTTACAATTCCCTTAATAATTACCCTTTAAAAAAAATCAAGATACAATTTTACTTCCCAATGATCCTCTATTCCCTCTTAGCAGATAAGGTATTATTAACAACCAAGCCAGATAAAGATACAAGAGACAGGTCTATAACCCAATCTTTTATTGATTACACAACAAAGCACAAGAACAAGCATTTGTCTTAATGCCTATCTAGCTACCTGCAACAGCATGATAAAGATTCTAATTTGTCCTGGCTGTGGGGGGAGACAAAAGAGAGGAGAAAGGTGGCATGCAAGCTGACAGCAGGGTGTTTTGAATTTGCTGACATGTAACATCAGCATCACCTACCCCTATTACTAAAAGCCAGGGTGGGTTGCAGAAAGCCTGATGGCAACATCTGTTGTTTCTTTTAGCTGCTGTTAAGTGCTTCACAAAGCAGTTAGCCATTGTTGGCTTAATCTAATATTAGTGCCTTTGATTAAACAGATTCTTATTCCACTTTACAAGGCAACTGCTTGTGACTTGAATGCAACATTATTGATCATATACCAGCTTAAGCATATATTATTCATGACTCATGCTTTTGCTTTGTCTGCAGTTTGTACCAGTCAGTGTGGTCTGTTTGTCATTGAACATGTCTATAGCCTAAAACAGTGGTGCTCTACCCCTGGCCCACAAGCCAAGGCATCCAGCACCATCATCTGGTCCATGCAGCTCCCTATAGACCCATGGCCCTGCATGCTCGATTGGGCATGCACGATGGTGCAAGGCTGGGCAGGGGCAGTGTGGGACAGTGGAGCCTGATCTCAGCATGTGGCACCAGGTGGGGGTGGTCCAATTCCTTGCGCACAGGACTGTGAGGGCACAGCTCAGAGCCCTGGGGCTTGATCCCAGCATGTGGGGCTGCACAGAGGTGGGAAGTGGGGCATGCCACAGGGCCCTATCCAGCCTGTGGATTGGCCCAGCCCCATTCATCTAGCCCACAAGCCAGAAGTTTGGGCACTGCTGGTCTACAACATGGGCTGAGCCCAGTCATGAAGCTCTCTTGTCTGCAGCAGGACCTTGAGAAAGAAATTGAGCATATCATCTCTGCTCCAGGGAGAGATGGGAACTATTAGTACCAGCAGCAGAATGGGAGCTGCCTCTGAAGACTATGCCAACAATAAATGCATGTTCTCTTATTATTAAACTGAGCTCAGGCCACTCTAGGATGACCATATGCCTGTGCTGGTGCACTACTGAGGAGACTGCAGTCATTTATACAGTGCCATAGCACTTCACAAAGCAAGGCCTGACCCCAGAAGAGCTTACAGTACAAGCTTGGCCAGTAATGAGAGGATTCTGCATAGAGTAAGGTATGGAGGAGCAAGGGCTTGAATGATGGGTGTTCTGAGTTTGGTTATGTGTGTAACATGGTGATTGTTTTTTGTTTGTATTTGGTAAGGGAGCTGGTCATCAACAGCTGAAGGGACAGCCAGAATAACTTTCAGGGGGACAGTGAGAAGGTTACACAGCTGTAAGTGTGCATGGGAGAAATCGGGTTCTTGGGGTAGAAGGGAGGTCTTGACTGCTGTGTCCAATAAAAGGATGCTAAATAACAGAACAGGCTGATGGAGTCAGGCTGAAGAGGTAAGGCTAGACGTGCCCCCCCCCTGCATTGGCAGTCAAGCAGGATGGAGTTGGGGAAATAAAAGGCAACACTTGGGGATCAGGCTATTTGCAGGTAAATACATATGAACATAAGCAAATAGCAATTTGCTGCAGTGCAGAAGAAGCTAATTGCTTCACATGATAGGTTTAGAGTGATCTTTGCTGATATGGTGCCTTCCATGTCTCCACCACGTAGTGTTAGAGTTTTTTTTTCTTGCTGCTACACTTGTCTATATGGTTTAGCAGACTTCTGATATGTGTGCATTCCCTTTGTCCTGCCTTTTCTCCCTGAATATGTACCAGCCCTTGATAGTCAACAAGCATTGCTTCTGTGTTTGCACACTGGGGAATGCAGGAAGCTCTCTACAGCTTAGAGAACTGGACAAGGTGTCGGCCAATTTCTGTGACATTGTGACAGCCTGAAAAAAACACAGGATTGAAGCTGTTTATTGAGGTGTAGGATGGTTTGTAGTTAAGGTGCCAGGCTGAGACCTGGTTGTTTCTCACTGTGCTGCAAACTTACAGGGCGCTGACAGAAGTACAGACCCCCATTTTACATAAAGCACTATGAGTTAGAGCACTCCCTAACACAGGGGTAGGCAAAGTGTTTTGGCCAGAGTGCCAAAAAACCCACAATGTCTACCTTGGAAGGTGCCAGAGTGCCGACATGCCAGAGCAGCTGTTTTACAGCCTCCCGGGTGCAGCTGGCCCACAGGGCCCAGTATGCTTGCAGCAGGGCTTGCAGCCTCCCAGCTGCCTGGTGGGAGCAACCTGGGCTCCATGGCTGGCAGAAGCTGCTTAGAGCCCAGGCTGGCAGTGGTGTGCCGATCAAAATGGCCTTGCGTGTCATGCTTAGCATATGTGCCAGGGGTTGCTGACCCCTGCCCTAACGCAACAAACATTTGTCTGTTGGGTTGGGAGGGCGAGGGTGGGAATCGAGTTCCACTTTAGATAGAGCCTGAGGAGTCTGCCTGCAGCCTCTCTTCTCCAACTCTGCCTCCCCACTCCAAGCTCTGGTGCAACCTGCAGGAAGGGAGGGGGCAGAAGGGTGAGGGGATAAGTTGTGGGCTGGGGTTGACCAGCATGAGCTGGAGTGGGCAGGCTGGGGAGGGTTGTGAGGTGGGAGTCTCCAGTCCATCTGACGCCCCTCCAACTCAGGCTGGACAAACCACAAGCCATGGCTTTCTCCCCTTCCCCTTTGCCCCCTCCTTTCCTGCAGACAGCAGTGGGGGTGGGGCTGGGTCAACCCAGATCACATGACAGATTGACCCTAGGGAACTTCTAAGGGGAGTACCTTCATCTGATCCCTCACTTGATGAGGGTTAATTTTTTCATATGATCAGCCATGCTTAAAGCACTCTGCAGCCATGAACATGTATCATAGCATGGTTGTAGAGCACTTTCAGGGGGTTGATTGCCCAACAAATGTAATTTGTGTCTGTGCCCACAGTATGATCCCATGTAAGTCACCAAATCTTAAGTCTCAAAAGGCTGCTTAAGTGTTGCAATATTCAATGCCTAGTGGAGTGCACCTAGTGAGGTATGCAGGCTCCCTATAAAGTTTATAGGAACAGTCAGATGCCTAAGGAAATGGACCTTCAGAAACCAGCAGAATATGGAGCTTACAAGTCAAGCCAGGCAAGAAATGCAGTGAGAAGGGCAGAGCTTCCATGACAAAGAAGCTGATCTAGACAAAAACAAGCACTTCTCTCTGGGTTCCTCAGCTGTGTGTGTGCTCCTGGACCTAAGTGCCTAGCTTTCATTTGTGAAAAGATAGGGAGGCCATGTCCACTTCCTGCTTAGTTATCCAAGTGATCTGATTCTTCCCTGAATTTTGGTGGTGATTTAGGTTCAAATCATCACACTTCTGACTCTCATCTCGGGGAATAGCTCTAATTATCAGGGTCTTGGGCATTCAGTTTGGGTCATTCCTGTTGGGGCTGTTCTGCTTAGTAGAACTAATGAGGCATTCTTTGGGGCAGGAAATGGCTTCTCCTTATTCTTCCACACTGAGCTCCAACCACTAGGTAAGGGTATCAGCCTTCTTCTCCCTGAACCATTAACAACTTGGTTCTTTATTCAAAGTTGTACCTCTGTAAATGCAGATGAGGGGGTCCCATCGTAGAAACACCCTGAAGCCTAGAGGTCAAAGCACTCCCCTTACAAGGGTGGGCTGAGGTCTAAGTCTCTGCTGTAGTCTATACGTGAGTCCCGGCTGCTGAGTGGTCTTACTGCTAGAGTATTCCAGGATAAACATGCCTACTTTAAGATATGGAGAAGAACCATTCTTCAGGGCTGACTGATCTTTGGCTTGATCTAAGGCAACACTTATGTGCATGGTGCCTGTGGAATTAAGCTGCAGCTGAGCAGTGGGTGGCAGATTGGTGCATGCACCTAGAGAAGCAGGTATGTGTATTAGTACTGTCAAGGATCTAGGCTCCTATGTTCCTGTCTTTCCTCTAGAATGAGAATAATAAAGTTCTTGTTTTAAATTGGCTTCTATGTGCTCTGGAGCAGGGACTATCTTTTCTTAAGCAAATATATAGCATCTATCAGGTTGGGGCTTGCAGGTAAAAAGGCTTCTAAAGTTACTTTATATACCAAAGCGCTTTTCTGAGAAAATGTTAAACTTGAAAAGTCAGATTCTCTCATGGGAAAAGTGTGAAGATGCATTAATTCATAACTTTAAAACATTCAATTGCTGCTGTAATGAGTGCCTTGAAAAGCCCATGAGGAAATAAATAATTCTGAGTCCAGTAAAGTTGAGAGTCTCAAACAAAGGCCATAAGAATTTATTATTGTAGCTAGTTTAAGGCAACCTGGGTACAACTTCTAATCTAAAGAAAAGCAGGTATCTAGAAGAATCCCATTCTCCCAATTTAGAGTATAACTGTTAGCTGACATAGTGAATAGCTTTACACAAGGGTAAAATTCCTCTTGACCAAAGTTGGACCTAAATTTAGGTGCAGACATTGGGTTCGATCCAACTACTGCTAATGTAACTGAAAAGACTTCCATTAGATTACAACAGCAATTGAACTGTTCCTCTTCTAAAGGGAGAATACCTTTCCAAGGCCATAATATCCATAAAGCAATCCCAACTTCATTAATGCATTTATCCATTGACTCCTTCATGTAAAATGCATATGAACCCATGAGTCTTGCAGTCTTTGCCATATAGTGGCTCAGATTCAACAGGAGTATGGAGAGTGCCCACATGGCAGCATTGTCTCTAGCCTGGGCGTTCTCTTGACATGGGGAATATGGGTATGAATCCCCTAGGCCAAAATATTTTTTGCATCCTCATACCACTTTCTAGAGTGCTTGTAATTGCCACACATTAGTATCACCTGCAGATTTGATCTCATTCATCATACCTCTGGCATTTTAATAGAAAAAATTATCATTTCCTTTTGTAGCTTTTTGAATCCCAGCCTGATTCTGATTGTATACCTGAGTTCTAGAACTTTTCCTTGCACTCATCCTTGGTTGTGTGCCGTAGTTTCAAATTCTTCAGAATTATGACTCCCCTGAGGCATCTTCCCCTGAGGGGACTCATCCACACATGCAGGGATGTGTGCTTGCAGCAGCTCAAGTAGCAGTGCTACAAATTTGTGCCAGAGATTTGTGCCTCAGCACACATACCTGAACATGCACTTTGGTATGGTGCAAATTGTGCCACTTGGGGCACAATAACTGCTCAGCTTCTTCTGGATCTTCAGCCAGGGGGAGCTAGAGGCTGGGGCCAGTACCAGTAGTTTAGGGCTAAAAAGTAGTTTAGGGCTACTTGCCCTCAGGAGCTTCTCAGAGATGAGCCTCTGGGAACAAGTTGGCCACGCCTCTTCCAGTCCCAAGCTGTTGCTATTGCTGCTGCAAGCTTGGTCTTAGGAGCTTCTGGGGAGAGGATGGCCAGGCCCCTTCCTGCCCCTGGCTACTGCTAGCTTGTTCTCAGAGATTTTGGGGGTAAGTTGGCTGTACCTCTTTCTGTCTTAGGCTGCTTTTGCTGCCCCCCTATGGGGAGGGGTCTTCTGCTGTTAGCGGCTGTCCCCCCTCAGGGAGGGGCCCACCACACTGTGCTGCACCCCAACTTCTGCACCCCTGTTCCAGCCTGCTGCTCAGCCCACCAAATTGCAGTCAGGGGACAGCCTGGGGAGGGAGCCTGCACTGTCTGTGGGGCCCTTCCCCAATATCACTGCCGGAGCCTAAAGGAGCCTTGCCTGCCCCAGCTGCCTTGGCAGTCCACCCCCCACCTTCACCTCCACTTGCACCTGAAGCACACCCTGAGTGGCTGAACTGGATAGCTACTACAGCTGTTGCTGCTACTGCTACCATCTATTCTGCTGTTGCCCCCTCTCAGGACAAAGGGAGACTCCTCGCTGCACCACTTTGCATCACTCAACACCACACCTGCGCTGGATTACTTCCTTAACTGATTGCTCCTGCAGTCCCCCACAGCTGCCTTACTGCATCTGATTCTGCTTTGTTTTCTTGCCTATAGCTCTGCCGCTGAGTGCCTGGCTGGAGGTCTGTGGGGCTCCTGGACTGATCTTCAACAAACAAAGCCCCTCCACCACTCTAGCAATCTTCTACATCTGCCTCAGCAGCCTCCCCTGTGTGTTTTTTGCCTTTGTGTGGTAAGTTCTGTGGTCTGCTCCCCCTGCCCTGGTGTTTGTTGTGTGGCTGAATAAGCCAGTTCAAGCTCTGTGTGGGCAACCAGGACCAGCTAGAGGCTCCTCTCAAGGACTTTTCACACCTGGGCCTATGAACTTCACTTCATTGGCCTTCTAGGTACAGAAACTCATGGACTTAATATAGACATTGGAATTCTGACACACTACAACCTGCTCCCCAGGTATCTCTCCACTTTTACCTGTGCTGCTACATCCCCCTTCCACCTGCCCACCCACCTGCCTGGGCTGAGGGAAGGGAAAGTGTTGGGGAAAGCCCCATCAGGAATGCGTGCCAGCTGGCAGGCACTCCATGTCTTCCTCCAACACATCCTCATTCCCTTATCCCCAAGCCCCACTTATCTCCAGAAATGAAGAAAACTGCTCTTGCTCCTGTGGCAGCCTCCGGTAAGTGATTGCTTCAGGTACCACCCTCTTCCCCCTATCCCTCCCCCTCTGGGCAGGGCTGGGCTTTCCCGCTCCTTTTGCCAACAGCTCTTTCAGGCTGGAACTCAGTAAGCCTGCAGAGCTCTTTGCAAAAGGGGGAAATCTGTGTGTTTCCCTGCTAAAAGGGAAAATCCACATTTTCTCCAGTTAAACTGGGAAATCCATGGTTTTCTCTGTTTTTCCATGGGAAATGGAAAACCTGGATCCCTGGTTATAACACTGGAGAGGAACAAAGAGTGTGCATCACTTGGCAACTTCATCCAAGTGAGATCACCACAAACTTAAAGCAAGACACCCACAGAAGATGATCACTCCACCTTCCTGTGTGCATCCCTGGGGCACAGTGTATGGTGAGAGCTTTTGCTTGCTTGCTAATTGTCATATGTTGCTACTGTGTATCAATAAAGGTCTCTAAGTTATCAATAGGATATGTTGTGATTGGTGTTGCACTCTAACCACAATTGAGCATCTGCTGCTGATTCTTAAAATCAGGTCAACAGCTGTGTGTGCATCTCCTGTGAATGTATAACAGTAGCTAAGGCCTCAATATGTAGTCAGTCCAAAATGCACAGTTAACAGGTGTCAGACTCTGGAGCAGGAAGCTGGCCTCCCATGTTTTCGCCCCAGAGCTGAGGGGCTAGGGAACTCAGCTGCGAGGTGGAACATCCAGGTTTTAGATTCCTTTTCCCCCATGGGGGTCTTAACCTGGGTCTTTCTGATATCGTAGTATAGGGGTAGGCAATTATTTGGGCTGCATTGCTATTTAAGGAGTTTTGGTGAAGAGTTGAGGGCCAGGGCCAGCCTCAGCTCCTTGTCACAGCCATTGTGAAGCTGAGCTGGGTGAGGGGGGTGTGGGGAGGGGAGGCAGAAAGATGCCAATTGATCCTATCCAGGCTGGTCTGCCCCATACCTGCTACCGGGGGGGCCAGACAGAGCCAGGTAGGCAGACAGAGTTTCCATGGAGACCTGCCAAGGACTCCTGCAGGCAGGATGTGCTGGGCCAGGCAGATGGGATGGGGCCATGGGCAGGCATAGAGTGGTGTCTGGGAATGGGACAGGCAGGTGAGGCCAGGGCTGGGATCATGGGGAGGTGATGGCATGGGTCTGGGGTCCAGGGCAGACTGACAATCTGCTCCTTGCATGTCTCCATGATGGGTGCTGGTTCCATGGGCAGCAACATTGCAGGGACATGCAAAGAGTGAATTGTGGTGCTGCCTTGGGTCCCAGTCTTGCATGGTTACCACCCCATGATCCCAGCCCCTCCTGCCTGTCCCACTACCAGACTCTTCTCCCCACCTGCCTGTGGCCCCATCCCATCTGTCTGGCCAAATGCACCCTGCCTTCAGGGTTCTTGTGCTGGTCTCCAGGAAAACCCTGACCATCCGTCCACACTGTCTGGTGCCCCTAGTGGTGGGTGTGGGGAGAACAGGCCGGAGTGCCCAGGCAGCAGAGCTGGGTCCAGTGGAGGTGGTGGTGGAGACGCTGGTAGTGGCAGCTGGAAGAAGTCACTGGTGTGAGGGTTGCCAGGAAGCCACTGCACCACCCTCACCCCACTGCTATGCTGCCTGGCACCATGGACTATAGCTTTCGCCAAGAGCTGCATGAGGAGACAGAGTGAGCTGATCTCCATGCCAGGTGGCATCTTCATGCCCAGGGGCAGCAGGACTGGCTGCACATTCTGTCCTCCCATGCTTTGACTAAGCGGAGCTAAGGGACCTGCCACAGGCTAGATAGAATCACTTGGCAGGCTGAATTCAGCCTGCAGGCTGTATTTTGCCCACCCCTGTTTTAGTATAATGCACTAACCACCTCTGCACAGGAAACAGTCTGTTCTCTGGCACTCTTTGAAGCTGGATCCCTGGCAGCCTGAGAAGATGTGTGAGACCAGGAGGAAGACTGTAAAGTACTGGTTGTGTTCATTGTTATGCTGGCTGCTGACATGAAAAGAAGCAGGGGTGGGTGAGCCTGGAGCCTTGCTTCCAGTGAGACAGGACTTACTACACTATTTGCATGTACAGTATCTAGTGCATTCACTTAGGCAAAAGTGGCAAAACTTTTTTCCTCGCCAAATACTAATCAATCATGGAAAAATATCTTACCAGCCAGGGCCATTGACAAACGAAGTTCATCATGCAAAATCTGCAAAACTTCTCGTAGCCCTTCTTCACCCTGTTTCAAAAGAGCATGGATGGAAGGTAAGAGAGATTCAATAACTGAATAACAAAGAATAAGGAATGTACTAGGAGAAATGGGACAACACTTGGGCAGTGCCAATTCTAGACTCTCAGATAAATAGTCTTAGGATAACATAGTGGTTATCTCAGTTTACAGGTGGTTAATTTCAATACTTTCTGGGATGAAGAAAGAAACCTAAGTTGTCTTTCACCTAAAATAGACTCTAGATACTTTTTCATAGACATTAGAGCTGGATGGGACCTTGTAAGATCACTGGGTCCAGCCTCCTGCCCAAGGGGCAGGAAGTCAGCTAGGGTCAAAGGATCCCAGCAAGATAAATGTCCAAATGTTTGTTGAAAGTGTCCAGAGTAGGTGCTTGCACCACCTCTGAGGGGAGTTTGTTCCAGGCCTTGGGGGATTGGACAGTAAAGAAGTTTTTCCTTATGTCCAGCCTAAAATGGTCTTGCAGGAGTTTGTGACCATTAGACCTTGTCATCTCCTGGGGTGCTCTAGTGAACAGGTCTTCCTCCCAGATCCTGATGCACACCCCTTATGTACTTATAGGCTGCCACCAAGTCACCCCTGAGCCTGCACATTTCCAGGCTGAAGAGTCTCATGGTTTGCAGCCTCTCTTCATAAGGCCTATTCTCTTGCCCTCTGATCCCAGGGACTGAGGTCAAACTGATTGGCCTGCAGTTTTCTGAGTAGTCTTTTCTCTCTTTCTTGAAGATGGACATCACAGTGGCCCTCTTCCAATCTTCAGGTACTTTGCCTGAGGACCATGAGTTCACGTATATCCTTGCCAGTGGCTGCAATATGATATCTGCCAGTTCCTTTAGCACTCCTGGTTGCAACCTGTCCAAAACAGCTGATTTTATGGGAGTTCAGCTTCTCCAGATGCTCCCTCACAAGATCCATGCCAGAGGTGGGCATATATTCATCTTCACCCTGGTCATCCTGCATCATGTTAGGCAGGGTGGTCCCTTTGGGCTAGTTAAAAACTGATGTGAAGTAATCATATTTCATAGATTTTTATATCACAGACATTCAGGCTGGAAGGGATTCTGGAGGATCATTGAGTCCAGCCCCCTGCCCCAGGGGCAGGAAGCCAGCAGGGATCATAGGATCCCAGCAAGATAAACATCCAAAAGTGTCTTGAAGGTGTTCAAAGTGGGTGCTTGAACCGCCTCCAGTGGCAGTCTATTCCAAAACTTGGGGGCTCGGACAGTAAAGAAGTTCTTTCTTATGTCCAGTCTGAAATGGTCGCAGAGGAGTTTGTGACCATTTGATCTTGTCTTCCCTTGGGGCATTCTGGTGAACAGACATTTCCCCAGATCCTGGTGGACACTCCTAATAAACCTTATAGGTGGCCACCAGATCGCCCCTGAGCCTGTGCTTTTCCAGGCTGAAGAGTCCCATGGCTCTCAGCCTCTCATCATAAGGTCTGATATCCTGACCTCTGATCATGTGTGTGGCTCTCCTTTGCACCCTCTCAAGATTCTCCACATCCCTTTTGAATTGTGGAGCCCAAAACTGGACGCAGTACTCCAGCTGTGGCCTCACCAAGGCAGAGTACAATGAGAGAATGATGTCCTGGGATTTGCTTGAGAAGCATCTATGGATGCAAGCCAGCATTTTGCTTGCTTTACTAGCCACAGCATCGCATTGAAGGCTCGTGTTTATTTTGTGGTCAGTCATGACCCCTAAGTCCCTTTCATCTGTAGTGCTAACCAGTGTAGCACTGCCAAGCCTATAAGCATGCTGCAGGTTTTTCCTCCCAAGGTGGAGAACCTTGCATTTTTTTGGTGCTGAACACCATCAGGTTCTCATCCACCTATTTCATGAGCCTGTCAAGATCTACCTGGATCACCCTCCTGTCCTTAGGTGCAGATGTTTTACCCCAAAGTTTGGTGTTGTTGGCAAACTTGGCCAGCCTGCTTTTACTTTTTAGTATGAAGACGTT